AGCCACAGTGCCACTTCCAGCTTTTTTCTTTTTGCTTATGTGGTGCTGAGGAATTGAACCCAGGGCCTCATGCATGCAAAGCAAGTGCTCTACCACTGAGCCACCTTCCCAGCCCCAGTTTTTGAGATTCTTATCTCCAATAAACTAACAAAAAGCCAAAGGGCAGCTGTGGCTCAAGTGGTCAATGCTAGCCTTGAGTGAAAAAGCTCAGGAATAACACCTAAGCCATGAGTTCAAGCCCCAGGACAAGCACAAAAAAAGGTTCACACCTGTAATCTTACCTACTTAAGAGACTGAGAGGATAGAGGTTCAAAGCTAGCCCAGGAAAACACCAATAAATTCTTACTACTAATTGATCACAAAAAAGCTGGATGTAGAAGTGTGACTCAAGTGGTAAAACATCAGCTGGAGCAAAAGAGCTAAGAAGAGGACATGAGGCCCTTCAAGACCCAGTACTTGGCACCAAAAGTAAATAAATCTCAATATTCCTTCAAGCTTAAAAAAAGATCAATATCCAAATAATTAAATGACATATCATGTGGGTATTTTCATTTTTAAATTCATTTTGCATTCAATTTGTTAAGCAATAATAGGTATATGAAACTACCTATTTCCTAAAGTTATAAAAAGATGCATGGAAGCTGAACAGTGGTGGCTCATGCCTATAATCCTAGCTACTTCGGAGGCTGAGATCCACGGGTTAGAGTTCAAAAAGCCAGCCTGGGCAAAAAAGTATGTGAGATTCTTACATCCAATTAACTAAAGCCAATAGTGGAGGTCTGGCTCAAGCAGTAGAGTGGCAGCTTGAATGAAAAAGCCAAGCAAGGCATGAAGACCTGAGTTCAAGCTCTAGTACCAACACACAAAAAATATGCATGGAAACTGAATTCAGAGTAATGATTATTTCTAGTGGTAGGAAGGGAAGAGAAATGGGAGGAATGGGTAATTTCATTTCTATCTAGAATGTTGTGTCTTAAAAACAGTAAGGAGCCAGGTGCCAGTAGCTGACACCTATAATCCTAGCTAATAAGAAGGCTGAGATCTGAGGATCACAGTTTGAAGCTAGCCCAGGCAAGAAAACCCATTGGGGTGGGGGTGGGGGTGGTGTGTGTGTGTGTGTGTGTCCTGAACTCTGGGGGGGGGGGTGTCTTGAACTCTGTGTGTGTGGGTGGGTGTCGTGGGCCTTGAACTCTGGGGGGTGGGGGAGAGAGGGTGTCCTGGGGCTTGAACTCTGGGCCTGGGTGCTGTCCCTCAGCTCCTCGGCTCAAGGTAAACGTTCTACCTACCACTTGAGCCACAGTACCACTCCCGGTTTCCTGGTGGTTAATTGAAGATAAAAGAGTCTCACAGACTTTTCCTGCCCGGGCTGGCTTTGAACCTCAATTCTCAGATCTCAGCCTGAGTAGCTAGGATACAGGTATGAGCCACTGGCACCTGGTGCCCATAAGATCCTTATCTTCAATAAACTACAAAAAGAGCTGGAAGTGGAGCTATAGCTCAAAGGATAGAGCACTAGCCTCGAGCTTTACAAAAGCTCAGGGACAGTGGCCAGGCAGAGTTCAAACCCAGAACTGGCCAAAAAAAAAAAAAAGCAGGGCACTGGTGGTTCACACCACTGGCGGATACCTCAAATGGTAAAGCACTAGTCTAATAAACATAAGGCCCATTACAGCAAAAACAGAAAAAAATAACAAGACCTGAAACAATATAGTAATGAAAGATGAAACTGGTAAGTATAATTATATTCAATACTGTATTACTTCCTCTTGATTTTGCATGTTTTGCATGTGTGTCTGTGGGTGTGTGCATGTACACACGCGCATGCATACATGCACCAGTCCTGGGGTCTGAACTCAAGGCCTGGGCACCGTCCCTGTATTTTTGTCAGTCGTGGGGCTTGAACTCTGGGCTTGGGTGCTGTCCCTCAGCTCTTCAGCTCAAGAGTAGCGCTCTACCACTGAGCTACAATGCCACTTCCAGTTTTCTACTGGTTTATTGGAGACAAGAGTTTCACGGAGTTTCCTGCCCAGGCTGGCTTTGAACCATGATCCTCAGATCTCAGCTTCCTGAATAGCTAGGATTATAGGCGTGAGCCACCGGCGCCAGGCTTGGCTCTTTTTTTTAAAATTCAGACCTTGGCAAGCCACTTGAAGTGTTTTTTTGTTTTTGTTTTGTTTTTTGAAAATCTATCTATATACCTACCTACCTACCTGGGTCTCTCTCTATAGCCCAGGATGGCCTCAAACTCTCAATCTTCCCGTCTCTACCTCCTTGTGTAGTGCTTGGGATTTTACAGGTATGAGCCACCACACCTGCTTTCACTTGTCTCTAAATCTCAATACTGATGCATTCACCTGGAAAAAGGCAGATAAATATTCACTACTAATTGTATTAAGTGAGGATCAACTGAATGATATGGAGCAAAGCAATTTAAACCTTTTTTCTTTTTTTTTGCCAGTTCTGGTGCTTGAACTCAGGGCCTGGTCACTGTCCCTCAGTTTCTTTTGCTCAAGGCTAACACTACCACTTAAGCCACAATGCCACTTCCTCCTTTTTCTGTTTATGTGGTTCTAAGGAATCAAACCCAGGGCTTCATGCATGCTAGACAAGCATTCTATCACTAAGCCACATTTCCCAGCCCTAAACTTCAATTTTTTCTTTCTTTTGTCAGTGTGGGCTCTTCAGCTCAAGACAAGCACAATCACTTGAGCCACAGCAGCACTTCGTTTTCTGGTGGTTTGAGATAAGAGTCTCACTGATTTTCCTCCTCACTCTGGCTTTGAACTGCAATTCTCAGATCTCAGTCTCCTAAGAAGCTAGGATTATAGGCATGAGTCACCAGTACCCAGCTTTTAAAAATTCTATACTAATAAAAGTAGACATTTGCCAGGTGCTGGTGGCTTACACCTGTAATCCTAGCTACTCAGGAGGTTGAGATCTGAGGATCACAGTTCAAAACCAGCCTGGGCAGAAAAGTCTGTGTCCAATAAACTACTCAGAAAAAGCCAGAAGTGGCACAGTGGCTCAAGTAGTAAAGTGCTAGCTAGCCCTGAGCACAAAGAGGGTCAGAGACAGCACCTAGGCCCTGAATTCAAGCTCCAGGACAAGGAAAAAAAAAAAAAAAGCTGATATTTAATGAATTTGAAGAGAAGAAAACCCTCAAGTAAAACTGAAGCTCTTAAGTGAAGTGGCACAAGACAACCTAGTTACTCTTCTGCCCTTCTATGATCACATGCCTTTCTTGGCACTTGCCTGGCAACCCTCACTAAAATATGAGGACCCCTTTGTCTTTAGGAAGAATAATTTTCCCATCTCCAAATTCTTCTATTTCCCATCCCTGTGTGACCCTATTCTGTCCTTCCACAGCTCTCACCTGTCCACCCCCTTCTTCACACTTCAGTGTGCCACCCCCTCTCTCTCTGTTCTCTAACCTCCTGGTTGCAACCTCAGAAACTGGTTCCCTATCTATTTTTACCTTACCTCAGAAAACCTATTGCCTTCGAGCACAAAGCCTTATTTTATTCAGGCCACTAAAACTCCAACTCTACACACATACCCTACAACACCCTCTTTCAAGACTCTTAAATCCAAAACAGGGTTTAACAGAAATAGCCAATAGCAAGGATTATTTACAAAAGGACAGAACTCCATGTTGGCCTTTTATTTCCAATTTTCCCTAAACGTGAACCACACAGCACAAAAGGCTTTGTTATTACTCACGAGCAGGCCTAACATTAAAAAAAAAAAAAAAAAAACACCACAGTGAACTGAAATTATCTTTAAGAATTCTGCAACTCCCTCTGAGATAACTGGAAACACTGCTGGCCAACAAAACAACCCAAGGCTGGAAATCACTGCTTGAGGTAACATTTCACTTAGGTGAGGTTGCCAAGACTCTCTTCCCACATGAGCATAAGAGAGTAGATATTATTAGGCTGCAGCAACAGGTTTCTCTTTTAAAAGATAAAAGAAAAAAAAATTAGACGGATCTGCTAAGGTTTGGAACACCTAACCAATATATGCACACAACAAAACAAAAACACCTGGAGGCCCAGGCACGGAGGCATTGGTGGCTCACACCTGCAATCTTAACTCAGGAGGCTGAGTTCTGAGGACCACGGTTCGAACCCAGCCCAGGCAGGAAAGTCCATGAAAGTCTTATCTCCAATTGACCAGCCAAAGGCCCGTAGTGGAGCTGTGGCTCCACTGGTACTAGTCTTGAGGGGGGGGGGGGGAGACAAAAAACAAAGCTAAGGCACAGCGCATTTGAGCCCTAGGACCGGCGCGCGCGTGCACACCTGCACGCACAAAAGCAGGCACAAAAAACCTGGAGACGGGGTCGGGGGACCGTGGGCAGCCCTTAACAGTTCTTGGGAACAGATGGGCTAGACCCTCCACCCCACAAAACCGGCTTTTTTTTTTTTTTTTAAAGAAACACAGCGGTCGCCAGGCGGCGCCGCTCTCCACCGGGGTCTCCGCGCCTGCTCCCACCCCCGGAGACGGAGAATCCCCGCCTCCCCGTGGAAAGTGGGAGAAGCGCGGGCTTTCTCGCCGCCCCTCCCCCCCGGCGGGGCAGCTCCGGCCCGCGCGGCA